TCCGGCCCGGGGGTTCTATTGTTCCCCTCCCCCCCACACACACACCCTTGAGTAATTGTGAGCTGTCTGGCTGCTAGACACACTCATGCAGCCTGAGCACATTTACCAGCCAGGCAGTTCGAAACTACAAACTGATACATCTAGTAATAATACAACTTACTTAATGAGAAAATATCAGACATGTTCTATGTCTGGTATTTTCTCAGTTTCTTTTTTATGTGTTTATATTTTTGGGCTGCAAAAAGCAGTATTGGAAAAAAAAAGGTTCCAACTAAAGTAAAAAGTTTGGGAAACCCTGGTCTAACCAGCTTTCTGTCTGTCTTACAGCCCATTTATCCAATCCATATTCCTTAACTTGCTGGCAACAATATTGTGGGTGACCATATCAAAAGCTTTGCTAAAGCTGGCACTGGGGGTTTTGGGAGGACCAGAAACAACTTATTTGAATATTCATCATTTGATAAATGAATATGCAAATATGCAAATGCACATTACCAGTCCTCCAAAAGTTCATGAATGGATTTACTGGTCCCCATGTCAAAAAGTTTGGGAACCCCTGCTCTAGTGTAAGGTATCTAGACTCTAGCTAACTAGATGCTCTGTGGCATGGGAATTATAGCAGACAGAGAACTGTGGAAGACAAGGAAGCCCTTGGGTCAGGGGAAAGGTAGCTATGAGACTTATTCTGAACTCTTTTATTTTGGGGTTTGTTACAGATTGTTGGTGCAACCAACAAATGTTGTCCTGAAGAAAGGGTCTTAATGAACTTTGAAGTGTGAAGTGGACTGGAAAGACTGAGCAACAGCTTACCAAGATGCTCAGGATCTGAGTCTTCTATCCATTCCACCAAGTTTTATACTGATGTTACTCATGAACAACACTTTCATGTGAATAGAGATTGAAAAAATATTGTTTATTTTAGAAAGGAGACGAATAATAGGAGATATGGTAAAAAAAATCAAGAAAATGTCCCATAGGGGAAGTAGGTTGGGTGGCTTGGGTTTTTCATTTTCACTTCATAGGAGTTAAGGGACATTTGGTGAATTTGAAGGACAGTACATTCATACCTGATTAAAGGAAATATATTTTCATATAGGCTGTGTCTACACTGGCACGATCTCACGCAAAAGCGGCTGCTCTTACCCAAAAACTTGCTGCCTGTCTACACTGGCCGCGTATTCTTGTGCAAGTAAACTAACATTCTAATGTATAAAATCAGGGCTTCTTGCACCAGAACTCTGATGCTCCCGCTCAGAATGAAGCCCTTTTGTGCAAGAGCTCTTCCAGAAGAGGCCAGTGTTGACAGGCAACATGAATTTCTTGAGCAAGAAAGCCCTATGGTTAAAATGGCCATCAGAGCTTTCCTGCACAAGAGAGCGTCTATGCTGGCATGGATGCCCTTGCACAAAAGCACATCTCTTGTGCAAAAGCACATGCCAGTGTAGACGCTCTCTTCTGGAAGAGTTTTTGCAGAAGAAGTCTTCCGCAAAAGAGTTTTTGTGTGAGAACGCGCCAGTGTAGACGTAACCTTAGTGCGTAAGGAAACTATGGAACAAGGTATCACTGAAGTCAAACACTTTGATTGATTAAAGAGATTAGACGTCTATATAGCCAACATTGCTATTCAGAATTATCAATATTAATGCTATTGTTTTTGAAGGAACACAAAATATCATTCTTCAGGTTGTAAAATAGTGACTAATTATTAGGGACTAGATTTTTCAGGGGCAAAACATCCCATATATTCCTTCTGGAAGATTTCTTAAAACTTCTTCTGAAGCTTCTGGTGCTAACCACTTTCAATCACAGCAGACTGGATCAGAAGTCTGGTCTAGTATGTCTATATTTTGATGTTGTTATCCCCTTGAGGCAGTCCTTTTAAATTAAAGTTGATCTATTGTCTTGCCTTGCAATGCTGGTCCTTGCTTCTGAACCTTTTCTGCTCATACAGGATGCCATCACTAGACTGTTAATTCAGCACCTTCCCTGAATGGTAAATGAGCTTTCAGGGTGGGTTTTTTTTGTAATTTATTCATTTATAATAGGCCATCTCCTCTCTATGAAGTGCCTGGGGCACCAAACAACGTTAAACACATAACACAAGCTGCTATCATTAAAACTTCGCTAGAGAAGAACAAATTGACTAAGGTCTGACAATGGAACATGGAGGCATTAAGAAAAGCTTATGCAAACCTCATGGTGGTTCTAAATCATGGCGGGGCAATAAGCAGTCAATTCCCCAGGGTTAGCCACTGGCAGGCAGCCGATGCTACATTTACCTGCATGACTGCACATACAACTGCTTGTAGCTCCCGTTGGCCACAGATTGCTGTTCCCAGGCAATGGACCACAGATCAGGACACAGCTTCCTATAGCTCCCATTATCTAGGAATGGCAATTCGTGGTGAACAGGAGCTTCAAGAGCCCATACCCATGGAGGCGCAGGTAAATAAAGTGCTGGTGGCCTGCCAGAGACTAACCTTGGAGAACCGTGTTTGGCCCGTGGGGGGGTTATTGCCCACTCCTGTTCTAAACTACTTAATAGTTCAGGAGACATGAGAGGTAAACTTCACACTATCTTGCAAATTAGTGACTGTATTCTTTTCTCCCTTTCCTCCTCCCCTAAACATAGGAATTGATATTTACAAAGGGTTAAGCCAGGGGTGAGGAATCTTTTTTGGGTTGAGGGCTGCTAACCCACCAAAAAATCAGTTGAGGGCCACATACAAGTGAGAAGCAGAAAACAAACAAACCCTCACTGATGTGGCCCCCCAAATGAGAAGGAGAAAAACATTCCCCTCATATGCCAGAGCCTGGGGGGGGGGGGGAGTTTGTGTGTTTCAGATCCATTGTGTGCGTGGGAGAAGGAGACAGGGAGCTAGTTGGAGCATCAGTGCCAGCTTCCTAATGCTGAGGGAGGGGATCCCTGAGCCTCATTTAGCCCCAGGGCCTTAGGTTCCCCACCTCAGTTACATAGTTTACTCAAGCCTGAGTCCCATGTCCAGGACTTTGGCCCAAGGTTTGTCATATTCCTTTTACATTTTATTTGTATAACATCTACATTTTGGGTACATTAACAGTGGGTAGCTGCAACTCAGTGCTTTTCTGGCTTACATAAACCACCCTGGGAAGGAAAAAGTGAAGTGAATAAGCTCTTGCCAAAGTGTTTTCTAAAGGTTTCTTTCCCCTGCAAATACCTTCTCCTCCCTGTGAATTCATTTACAGCCTGCATTCTCCATTCATTAAAATTCATTTCTTGTGCTCAAAATGCAAATACATTCTCCTATACTGGGGTTATTTAATGTGTATTAGAACACCACACGTTTCCACCAAGTACTGTGTCACACAAAGGTCACAGTGGATGTTGTCTCCCACATAATACCCCACCCATCTCTAATCTGTCACAACCAAATCCTGCCAGGTTTGTATAGCCCTGCATTGCATTGTCTGTCTGCTGCATGGCAAAACCATTCCCATTTTCTCATACATGCTTCTACCATTCATGCTTGGGTTGCACTCTTATGGTTTTAACGCGGCCCCCTTTACTAGCTCCAGAACACACGGAGCCAAACTTAAGGGACAAAACATTGGGTCTGGGGAAGCCATTCATTAAACTTTTCATACCTCCAAACTCAGTTGTAAAAACAGTGTTTTAACAAGGAAAAGGAACCTCTCTTGTGCTTAGAGGGTGACTCATTCATAGGTTTCTTTTATGCAATATAAATGAGTTTGCTCTCTCTACCTCCCCTGCTCCCACCACACAACACCTTTTAGAGCTGGAATGGTGATTAAACCAGCCCTGGAGTGAGGGCAACTCCTCCCACTTAATTACACCGGGAAGTTACTGCTGGTGCTGCTTCCATATGTTAAGACCCCACATTGCTTGGAAAAATGGATTTCTTCATTGAAAATAAAAGCCCTGCACTGCCCGCATCTAACACACACAGCATTCATGCTTGCAAAGAAAAAAAAGAGTTCATTCCATTTTTAGGAGAGTTCATTCCATTTTTATTAAGGACAAAATCTATTTAAAAAGTTAATAAACCCTCCCCAACCGCAAAGTTCACACAGTTTCCAACCAGACTATCCCAGACCCCAGGCAAATAAAACGAACGGAAAGCAGAGGTCAGTGAAACTCGACATGCATAGATCCAAGCATTGACTCAAGCAGCTCCAGTGACTTGCCAGCAGCAGCTACAAAGCGCTCACAAAGCTCCTATTTCACAGCTTGTGCTGCGGAAGGATATTTCACCTTGTTTACCCTGAAACCGGCTCATTCAGAGAGTGGAGGTGGGGAGGGGAGGGAAGGGAAGAGAAAGGGGGGCAGGGTTGGCAGGCTCGCTCTGTGATTGATGGTTCCTCGGCTCCAGGAGGAGGTGGCTCGGTGTGGGGTGGGCTTCTCCTCTGAGCCAGTCTGCTGTGCGACGGTGGGGATTGTGCAGTCAGCCTTTGCACTGGGGCACGGTGTAAATGTGCTGCTGCAGCTGCTGACATTGAGTAGTGAGGCATAGAGCGAGCTAGAGAGAGAATCCCAGCCACGTAAGTAGCTATTAATACATGGTGGAGGGATGATGTCTTGCTGAAAGGGATCGGCCCGGCCATCCCTTTCTTCCCCCTTCTCCTGCTTCTAGGAAATAGATCAGACCCCTGCAATATTTTTAGAGTGATTGCAGTTTCTTTTGCTCTCCCCCGTGCTCATTCCGGACCCTAGAGAAGAACCACCGGGATCCCCCCCCCCCCCCATTTGTTTTTTTCTTTTGTGCGTGAATTCTGTTAAAGCGCCTGGAAGCCCCGAGGGAAAACACACGGAAAAAAATCCTCGTGCCGTGGAAATCTCAGACTCTTGATCTTGTCCTGAATTGCACTTTTTTTTCTTTGATTGAACCAACAACAAAAATCTTGCGGTGCATAATTGTGTGGATATCTGGGCACAATCGTTTTTGATTTTGCAGTTCATTCGGGTAGGGCAAAAAAAATCCAACGCAAAATAGAGGTATTTCTGCAGGTTTTTAAAAAGCTTTACTGTATCTTTTGTCGGCTCTGTTGCTGCCACTGACCGCTCTTTTAAGTTAAATGCTCCCTCTATTTTTTGTTGAATTTCTGGATCACCCTTGCTATCAGAGGAAAGGTTCAGACGCCATCTACAGTTAAAACGGTGGCAACTTTTTTCCCTTTTGCCTTGTATTTAAGAGAGAGAGAGAGGACAATCCAGTCATTTATGCAGCACGTTACTTAACCTTTTTGGGGTTGTGTGTTAAAAAATTTAGTGGGCGTTTAGGGCACCAGAGACTAATACTGAATCAGCCTCCTCTTCCCCCCTTGCTCTATTTATATTGCAACCTCCTTGCGAAGCTGCGTTCGAAAATTGAACGTTGCAGCTCTCCACGTTCTCAAATTAGTTAGTTTGTTGCTCTCTGAAAAAGACGAGTCGGTTGCTGTACAAGAAACAAGAGGACCTGCGGCTAAATCCTCTTTCTCCGGTCACACGGTTCTCTGAAGCCGACCCGCGTGCAAAACAATCGCTTTGATAATATTGTGGGGGGTTTATTTTTGGTACTATTAATCTACAAACCCTACTACCCCTTCTTAATAGCAACACAAAGGCAACTGCAGCTGGACTGGCAAGTGACTTGATCTTCTTAACCCGGGGGTTTGGTGTATAACTTTGGTTCTTACAATACCCATGAACATACAAAGGTCAACCCCTATCACAATAGCGCGATATGGGAGACCTCGGAATAAAACCCAGGATTTTGAAGAGCTCTCGTCTATAAGATCCACCGAGCCAAGCCAGAGTTTTAGTCCGAACCTAGGCTCTCCGAGCCCGCCAGAGACTCCTAACTTGTCGCATTGCGTTTCTTGCATCGGGAAATACTTATTGTTGGAGCCTCTTGAGGGAGACCACGTTTTCCGAGCGGTGCATCTGCACAGTGGAGAGGAGCTGGTTTGCAAGGTAACACCTTTCTCCGTTATTATCTTTCTAACCAGACAGTGTATTGCTTGATATTTGACCGGATACTCAACTAATCGACTAGCTCCGTGGTTAGACCCATTTAAAACCAAGCCCCAAACGAACAGAATTAAACAGGCACCCCGTAACTTTGCCCCTGACTCTAGACAATGGCCACGTTATAACGGGGCCTGGAGCCAAGCTATCACTTGTACCCGTGAGGAGCTGTACTAGAAAGAACCGTCTTTAAAAGATGTTGAAATGTTAGTTTGATCGTGTTATCACCCGATCCTTCCCCCACTCTCTCTTCAAAATGGAGCCCCCCCTGCTGATTTGAAGACCCTGTGTCTTGCTTTATTTGAGTTTGAAAGCCTTGCAGGTCGTAGACAGCCTACTCTGAAAAGTGATTAAAAATCCACCTTGAATTAATCCTGCTGAGTTCTCAGCCCTCCTTATTAAAGAGGTTGTTTGGAAATAGCATCCTCCCCCTGTAGCACAATTCTGCAGGAATAAAAGCTGTACACCTACGTTATATAGAAGAGCAGACAAAATACCTAAGCCAGTCTTTGTAGACTGCTTGCTTTTCAGCAGCCCCTCCCCCATTTTCTTTTAACGTTCGAAGGTGACCCATGGGAAAAGGAAACCCACATGTCTGCACCTCTGTCAAGAAACGTATTTTCCCTTTCAGTCTGAGGGAATATTTTATCCCCTTTGTTCCTAAACTGCACTGGTTACAATTTTCATTGTCTCTGGTGCGTTAGACTTATGCCCATTCACATTAGCAGTATGACTGTATAGCAGATTGCAACGTGCTTTAATGCTTGTATTGTTCCCAAAATATGTAATTATGCCATTGAGCAATCTTTTGTAATTTTCTGGGGTTGAGCTCTCTGTCTGTGTAATGATCAGTAGCCAGACACATAATTATTCAAAGGATTGGTTATTGCATACTTTTAAATTTAATTCACAAGAAATTGACTAGCATATACTGCAAGGAGGGTGCCAATTTACTGCTTGCATCTATTTGTAAAAGATTTTGATTGAGGGCAATATAAATAATCCCCTCTTATGAGTCATAAACCCTGAGTTTAATTAAGATTTAAGAGGTGGGGGGAAGTCTTTTGACCATGGAAGCTGAATGGTATTGCATATGCATGCATTATATTGCCAAAATAAATACAATTTGAAATAGAATTTCTGAATGAAAACTCTGTTCCTTGCAGTAGAATAGTGCTATGTGTTAGGACAGTTGTATCATCTTATGAAATACAGGTATGCTGCTGCTTCTCTATATGAAATTCTATAAAAGCTTGCATGGCCTGCAGTAACTTCATCACTGTGTTCTATTTTTAGCAAGTTTTTTGTACCTTAGCTGCAAGTATTGGATTATTGCATGATATTTTTATGACCGACTGTGCAGCAAAGTTGCTGTTTCCCAAAGAGTGAATTTGGTTTTGGGGTTCCTTCCCATTGAGCTGTACTAAGATGCTTGGTTTTTGCTTTTTTATTTTGTTTTTTTAACTTGACACCATTCAGTTTCTTTCATAAGTGTGAACCACGGCTTGTGATCTATATCCTGAAAATACTTACCTTGAATCTCTTCTTGGACTGATGGCAGTCCTAAATGTACCTTAACTGATGCATACTTTACAACACCCTAAGTAGCATGATTCCTATTTGAGAAATATCCTCCTTGCTAAGAAAGCTTGTATCCTGAGACAGTGGAAGTGATTTCTCACATGGGCATAGGGTGAGATAGCACAAACGTTCTGATGATGTTCAGATCCCACTAACAAATGCCATTACTTGCTTCTAGTCTCAGAGGGATTCAAACAAAGGTGTCTGTCCACTTCTCTTTGCTAATAAGAACTAAATTAAACTGCTGTTTATTGGACTTTGTATTGAACCAAGTTCGGGGATATTACAAGTTGACTGAAAAAAAGCCCCTTAAAAATCTTTGGGATAGCGACAATATGATATTGTAGTACTTTAAAGAAACAAAGCATACAGTCTATTGTCTTACATCAGAGACCTTGATCAAGGTTCCCCGGGCACTATGCAGTTGTTTTGGTTTGGTTTATTTTTTAAGTATTCTACAGTTGCCTAAGAATTGTGGAAATTCTATTTCAAATGAAGACAAGTTAAAATCCTGGGATGGTGAAGAAAGTCCGTTTTCAGTGTTATAACAGCTACTTATTAGTCATTCCAACCAATTCTAATGACATACTTACCACATTTTTTGAGACCTCAGCACAGATCCAAGTGTCAGTGATTTTCCTTCTGGAATGAATTATGCACTAGGGTTTTAGCAACAAACCCTCAGTGCTGCCTTTGTGGTTTATCACGTCACCAGAACGCCTTGATGCTAATCTTCCCTGTTAGAAAGTGAGTTGGGTTAGCTGGGCCTCTGCCTGTCTGAATGACTTTTGGCTGTGGTGAAGTCTAGCAGCACAGGTAAGTATTTTCTTTCCCCATTTTGTCAAGTGGCCTTCCATCTTGGAATCTCTCCTGAAGAAGCATTTTAAAAAGCCTTAGTTTATTTTAGAAGCTTTTTGTAAATTGCTGTTGACCCACGTCAGAAGCTTTTAGTTTTAAAAACTTTTAAAGCTTCAGAGGAAGTAACTGTGAGTGCCTCTCCAGGAGGCAAGCTAGCATATGAAAAACCAGTAGCATTGGATGGGACTTTGGTTTAAGTACATACCATTTTATCTCAATGCTGTTAACTAAAACAACACAGAGTAGCCAGTTGCATATCTAGTGGGACCAGATTAATGTGAAAGTAGCAATAAATCCCAGAGTGTGTTTGTTTCTCTATTATTGAAAACACTGGTTCCTTCCTTTGTACCTCATAATGCATCTGGGGCTGTATAATACACTCTTTGTTGCTTACATTTTCTTACTGCAGAGCATTCCATTATTCTCAGTGGAAACTTTCCACTGCTTTAGATGTTTTAATTGACTCAAATACTGATTCATTCATAATCACTAGACTATAGTAATTTTTATATTTGAATTTCCCAGCATCCTTTATGCATTTTTATAGCCCATTCACTGGATCACTGATAACCTGCTTACTGTTAAAGCAACACACAACTGTTAAAGGGACACTCGATTATATTTGTCCCAAGATTTAATTGCTGTTGTTTTAAAAAGTAAGCTTGTATAAAGCCTAAAACCAGTAGTTCCATAATTTTTTTTCTGACATTTGAACACGGCCATTGTAAAACTGTGAATGTGAAAGTGAAACTGACTTCACTGATTTTTTTTTTTTTTTTTTTTGGTGCGGGATGAACATACGTAAGAGGAAGTAAGCAATATTAATGATGACATTTGATTTTAAACATGAAATATGTTAAGGCTTTAATAAGTTAGTAAAATAGATATATGATTTCAGTTTGACAAGCTCTCTCCAAGCACAAATCATCACAGTTTGCTCATGGTCTCTGAGGTTTTAGTTGGATTTCTTCAGAGGAGGTAAACTTGATTACTTTTGAGGCTTGGCATCCTTACATATAGCTGTGGCGCTCAAACCATGATGTAGATTATAATCTGGATTTAATCACATATTGGCTATTTAACTGTTCACACTGTTATTTTTAGAAAACAACCTCTACTTAGCTGACAACATTCTCATCCATGTAAGGAAGTATAGTCTCTTTTTTTTTCCTCTCCCAACATCATGCACAAATGCATTTCTGCCAATTCCACACATGGAAAGAGAGTTGTAAAAGCTAAGTACAGGCACAGCAACCCATCTCTGTAGAGAGCTGAGGGCCAGATATAATTACTGCTTTGTACCTTGACTTCATCTTTAATCCTAGTTTTACTGTTATTGTTTTCTAGGTATTTGACATTGGTTGCTACCAAGAGTCGTTGGCGCCGTGTTTTTGTCTACCAGCACACAACAGTATCAACCAAATTACTGAAATAATTCTTGGGGAGACAAAAGCATATGTGTTCTTTGAAAGAGGCTATGGGGACATGCATTCTTTTGTTCGAACCTGCAAGAAGCTTAAAGAAGAAGAGGCAGCCAAACTATTCTATCAAATAGCTTCTGCTGTTGCACACTGTCATGATGGTGGACTGGTATTGCGGGATCTCAAACTGCGAAAATTTATCTTTAAGGATGAAGAAAGGTAAGAATCTTTTACATATTGGACTTGGGTTTGTGGTTTGAATGCGTTTCTCTCCTTGCTCTTCTACATCCAGCATATTTTAAGTTAAGGTTAATATTACCATGTGTTCTGTACTGTAATCCTGTTTCTCTGTGTCTGATGAGGAAAAAACAAATCCCTGCAGAGAAGCCTGGTAAGGGGAATGTTCTGTTTGGGACAATTTCCCTGCTTTCCTCATGCTCTACTGCCGGCCTTTCCTTGCAGTTGGGGTGTTATATGTAAAGTGGGCATTTTTTTCCTCTACCAACTGAGTGAGGATTTTGAAACAAAGCAATATGGTTTCAAATACTTTAGGATTGTTTGCAGCACCTCCACCTCTGCACTGTGGAATTCCCATGGGTCTGACTGGTAGCTGGCTTCTGGAGAAAAAGGCTGGCTGCATAGAGACAGGTTGTATACATGCAGGAGGAAGTGTACAGAGGCCTGTGGTAGATCTGCATAAAGATCTATATTAGAGCCCTGCACAGATACAAATATCTGTCTGCGGATATAAATCAGTATTTGCTGATCCACAGGGCTCCACTCTGAGGAGATGCTGCAGCCAAAGGAGAAGAAGAAGGTGCCACCACTCCTAGGAGCCAGCACTCTATGCTGGTAGCTCCTCCCAGCTATGCAGCTGTAGTGCCCTCAGCTCTGCAACCAGCAGGGCTGTAAAACCCCAGACAGCAGGAACTGTCTTCTCCTTTGGCCACTGTGTCTCTTAAGAGTAGAGCCCTGTGGATTGTGGATACTGATTTCTATCTGCACAGGGCTTTTATCTATTATGTCAACTTTTGAGTGCTCAGCTTTGAGATTTCTGAAGCCTGAAAGTTGCTAAGCATCCACGCCTGCCATCCACTTCACTTACATTTGAAGGCCCAGAGCTCCTAATGGATTTGGCAGTAGGAGATCCACCAGTAGGGGAATTGAGGCTGACAAGAAGACTGAACTCTCTGAGGAGAATTCTCAGCATTGTTAATACTGTTTATGACCAAAGGTGGCAAGGAGAGTGCAGAGAGAGCATTGCTTCTGTATATGTCCTTTGTCTGTGACAACGTTAGACTCTTGCATTGTTTGGGGGATGATCCACTTTAGAATCAGAGTTATAATACTGGTTTTAGATGGTCAGCTTGCTTTTGTGGTGAGATAGTTCTGGATATAAGTAGAGGAAGGGGATATTGTAACAGACGATTAATACTAAGTAATTGTTTTGTCATTCAGGCCTGTTAGAATCCTTTCCCTGTGGCTATCCATTCCCACTAATTGTGTTCCATAATGCATTTCGGCAGTGATTTCTCACACACCATTGAGCTCTGCTGGAGCAGGGTAGAACATGGGAGAAAAATCAAACTTGAAGGTGACCTTCAAAGAACTTAAAAAGGAATGGAAGGAGGTGGAGTTTTGTCCCTTTCTTCCTATTTTTTTTTTCTGATATAGGGATGTGAAAAGTTAACCAGTAAGAATTACCCTTAATATTAGGTGATGCTTACTGGTTCCTGTTTGGAGCTGGAAAAGGGGGCTACTCCAGCTCTGCAGGGCCTACTGTGGACATGGGCAATCCAGCCTGCCTGGAGGAGCCCCTGTCCATGGCTGGCCCAGGGAGACCACAGGCAGGAGCTGCTCCAGCTAGGCTGGAGTGCCCCTATCTGCGGCGGGAGCGTCGCTCCAGCTCTCCTGTTTCTCCTTTAATTGGTTAACTCATTAGATGTCATATTTAACCAATTAAATGAGATTTTACAGCCATATTCTGATGTGTATTCTTTTGGGGCTGGTTTGCTCTGATCCCAACCTGCTGGAAACAGGGTGGTGGTGGTATGTTGTTGCTAGTAGGCTGCCCTTGACCCTGTTTAGAGGCTTCTTCATTCTAATTAGCCCTGGTTGATAGGCTTCAGATCAGTTTGAAACCCTCTAGCTGGGTCCTGGGAGAGAGATGGAGTTCTCTTTCTCTCTCTCTCCACTCTATAGTCATTGATTATTGGATTACCTCTAGAAGATTGTCTGCTACTCTCACATTCCAACCTTGTAGCTACTCTGGGGATGGCTGTTTTCTGTTTCTCTAACCTTCCAGAGTGAAATGGATATTTTCATTGCTATGCACATGCACAGGAGTTTGAATTGCTTCATTGAAATAGTTCAGTGTCTTGTCGGTCATATGTTTTGGCTGTTCAAGAAAGCTATGAGTAGCAGCAGAGGCTCTTTAGATCCATCTTCAGGCTCAGGAAGACCGTGCCACATCTATTCACATTTGGAAGTTTCTTTTATTAGAAAAAGAGAGAGTTTCTATTCCAAGGCTGGGTCTAGACTGGAATGATTTTATGCAAATACTTTTAATGGAAAAACTTTTCCACTAAAAGTATTTGTGCAAGAGAGCGGCTATACTGGCATGTGCCTTTGCGCAAAAGCATCCGTGCCAGTGTAGAGGCTTTCTTGTGCAAGAAATTAACATGGCTGTCTACACTAGCCCTCTTGCGCAAGAATACTTGCGCAAGAGGGCTTATCCCTGAGTGGGAGTGTCGGAGTATTTGCGCAAGAACCACTGATTTTGTACATTACAAAGTCAGTGTTCTTGTGCAAATACTCGCGGCCAGTGTAGAGAGGCGGCAAGATTTTGCACAAAAGCAGCCGCTTTTGCACAAAATCATGCCAGTCTAGACACAGCCCAAGAGTTTTATGGGTACTGTAAGTTTTAAACTCACATTTTGAAAAAACAAACTTTTATACAACCTGAGACAAACGGAAATAATTTCATAGTTAATTCCAATATAAACAATTGTTTAGAAACAAATATCTATTCCCCATTTTCCTCACCACTGCAATACATAAGAATTAGTAGCGCTATCACCAGTAGCTTATGGGAAAAGGCACAATAGTGATTATCATTGTGTCCAGTGTGTGATAAGTGTAAAATGGAAACAATTGCATTTTTTGTAATATCATGATAGAACATGGAGACTTATTTGCGTAGTATAGTAAGAGATCTTAAATATGGTATTTTAAATTGGCAATGCCTCTTTTCTCTGAGCAAATATCTTTATTAACAGAGTAGAGTAATATAATATGTGCTCACAACGTGTGTGGTTATACATTGTAGTCAGTGAGTGTTGATTACTGGGAACAGAATTACTGTAGAACTCTACCTTTAGGAAACCCTACCCTAGATGCTTCCCAAGATCTGACTTGCATCATAAGGCACAAGGCCAGAGTAGTATGTGCTACAGTAGCATTGCTTTATGCTAACATTAATTGGAGAGTAAAAAACCAGCCAATTATTAACTAAAAGAGAATGCTGCTTCTGATTTTTTTAAATACCATATGCTTGAGGCTAAAAGGCTGTTGCTAGTTTGTTTTTTTTGAACCAGTAATAAGAAAAATAATTTTCATTCAGATGTATCAGTGATTTGCAAACACTAAATGTATTATAACCATTTCTCATCTGAACAAATTGAAACACAGTCAAGGGAAACAGTGAAAGGTAGAAACAGAATAACTAGATTCTGTTTTTATTTTTCTTCACATGCTGCAAACCATCAGACACCTATCAATCGTCAGTTTGTTTGCTGCGCCTGTGTATTTACTCTGTAAAATTTTGCAACTTCCTAGTTTCACTGAGGCTGTTGCAGAGTGCGTCATTCCTTGACATCCAAAATACCAGACATTTCAACAAGGTTGCTAGTGCTTGTGATGTTGCCTTCTGAGAAACTTCATCACAGAAACCAGCAGCCTGCTTGGAATGCATGGTATTTTGGATGTCGCAGATTGCTGCTCTCTGTGACATTTGTAATGAACCAGGAAGTTGGAGGAGGCAATTAAAAAAAACAAACCCACATAAAATTGGGTTTCTCTTACACCCCCACTGTTTAACTGAGGTCTTTCTGCACAGTTTTCTATTCCTAACTCTGGTCTCATATTTGTTATTACAATTTATGTTTAATATAAATATGCACCCCTATTAAACTTTCCCTTGGTTGAAGATGATCTGACCTTTGTTTCTACAAAAACAAGATTGGAACAGTAGCATGTAGCCAATACTTGACTAAACTCTCCCACTTTTTGGACTGCTTTTAGTGGACAGCTGATGACTGGGAACCAAATCAATGAATCTATGTATTCTTCAGAAATAATATGATTTTTTTAAAATTCAATTTCAGTTTCTCTTCTTTGGGCTTAGTGATGTCTAGGAACACATAACCAGGTCCTAACATTTTAAGTTTCATTTTTAAACCATACATAGTTGGTACCTTTCTTACCATTTCTGAACCAATAAACATTCAAAGAAGTGGGCTGTGCCCATGAAAGTTCATGATGCCATCTATATGTTTTGTTAGTCTTTAAAGTGCTCCTATTCATTGTTTTTTAAGTTTATCCTGTACAGACTAACTCGGCTACCTCTCTGAAGCTTTAAATTAGAAAGGTATGGGCTTTCAATCCATAAAGGTGTACTGAGTGTCTTCAGCTCCCACTGACTTCATTTGCAGTTGAGTGTTCAGCATCTCATACCATTGAGCCCTAGTTCTATTAATGACAATTTGGTGATATCCTATAGTAAAGCTAGATTGTGATGGTGCATTAAGTTTTACACACTTCCAAGTATGCATGTTGTGCTTCAGATGTATTTTAACAACCCCATAATCTAAAATTAATTGTAGCACAGTTAAACAAAAAATGGGAAGAGTGTTAGATTTTTCTCTCCCTTTGTCTAGTGGCTTTTACATCTGTCAGCTTCATTGGGAGTTTTGGAAGCTTAGTACTTCCACAAATCTGGCCTCAGGATCTTATAAGTATTAATTTGTCCAGCTTTTGAGAGCTTATGTATTTAAATATTGTTAATTGAATTCTCTGAAATATATATACTCATGGACTGTTGTCAGGGTAATGTTATGGTAGAGTAAAATAGTACTTTAGTCCAAGTCAGGAAATGAAAAAGATATATGCAATCTAATGGTTTTATTTTAACAAGATATTTTTTTTTTGTTTTTGTTTTG